ATAAGATGCCAGATTACCTGCTGAGTTCAGAGCATCAGTAAAATTCAATTTTTTAAATATCTTTTCACCTGACATACTCTCATTGCATGAAAATACTTCCAACTCTCCACTAAATTACAAAAAAGGATATTCATTTTAAAAATCTTTCTTAAATTTCCTACAATCTTACTTTCATTACTTTATATTTCAGCTTCCTCTACTTGGCATCAGCCTCCTTTTTTGTCCTTTTGTACGCTCTGGCCAACATGGCTGCAAGAACCTTCTCCTCTGCAATGCCTGCCATCTGGAACCACCCTGCTGCATTTCTCTCCCTCCTTCTCCATCTATTTTCAGCCCTCATCTGGAAACAATATGTCTCTGTTCTCATGTCTATGTCTCTTAACTTCTAGTAAAAAAGAAAAAAAACTTTTTAATTTTATTAACTCTGCACAGTGTTTTGGAGATAAAGTTTGTGTGAAAGATACTGTACAAAGACATTTCTTTATTAAATCACAAGATTGCAGGGACAGAGCTTACTGTATAAAGTGAACTAAAATATGTCCTATTCTGCTAAATTTAATATATGAGATTTAATAGTTTGGGTGAATATTTTTAACAAGTGGCTTTAGAGTAAAATGAAAAGATATTCTTAATATTAGTAATTCATACCTTCAGGAAAAAAATTATGAGCTGCTTGATTTTCAAAAAAATGTGGAAAACATGCAACTCTTTAAGACAATGACATCTGAGAATGTTCAGTGCATTTGGAAAAAATTCAGGATATGTATTTTTCTTTTCCGTACCATAGAAAAGATGTTCTCTGTGTTACCACAGAGAGGAACACAAAGAGGTACTAACATGTAAACATGGAAAGCACATTTCTATGGTATTTGCAGATTGGTTATGCCAGCAATGTGAGTGATAAGAACAGGTTGAGCTCCTGTAAAATTAAGATATTGCAGGGCAAATAAGCTCGTCACTTCTTTGGTTCTTCTTCAAAACCCCAAATGCTGTTTTTGAGGAGTCTGAAATTTTCACGTAGAAAATTGTCTGCATCTCTCTTGAAACAAAACCCATAGCAGCATTTCATGTTATCTAAGCCTTTCTGAGCTGAATATCTGTAAATTTGTTCTAATTGCTTTTAAAAACTGAAATTTCTCTAGCTGGGAGTACTTCCCAAACCACCACAAGCGTGGACCTTTGTATAGTATTGCGGATGCCATGGTTTCACAGACAAGCCACATGAATACAGGATAGCAAGCATCTGGAACCCACAGCTGTGTGTGCTCCAGCCCCAAAGCACCCACAAGTCTATGCCAATGCAAACCCCTGTTCCCAGCCCACAGCTTAACCACACTGGTTTTCTTTAGAAGCCAGCCCTGAAATTGAAGCTTTTGGGTCTCCATTCACACAATTAAGGAGAGAAAGGAAGTGTTGGGGAAAAGGGGGCAAATATGTTCTAATGGAAAAGAATCTTATTCCTGCCTTGACTTTCACACATTGCCTAGTTGGGATGGATCAGCACAGAGGGACCTTAAAACTCCTACTTCTAGACCAAGGTGGATTTTCTTCTTACAGAAACGGCAACAAACTGACAAGGCTGGCATCCAGGAAGAATCTACAAGCCTATCCATCACGGAAAGGCCAAGGATGGGGGGAAAAGGGTGGTGTTCCACACTGTTGTTGGTTAAGCCTGCTATGTTGGATGCTCCTTGACCCTTTGGCCTGCACCTCTAGGCAGAAGGGCAGCTTTACCCACCGCTCCGTTAGAAAACTCTGTGCAGCATCTTCAAGAGTGTTAGTAACTTTATTACATGTGCAACAGAGAAGTATTAACATGTCCTTCTCCTTGCTAAAATATCTTGCATCCTCTTCCACAGAATCCTCAGACCCTTTCTGAAGCCAGACAAGGAAAGGCAGATATCTCCAAGTTACTTCAGCCTGAAAGAGTCACAAACTCCCGTTCCGTGTAGTAATGGGTGGCAAAACAAAAAGCTCTGTTTCTTAATCCTATATATCCCAGGGATCTGGATGTTTCAGCCTTTTACCTGTACTGGATACCAAGCAGAAGCTGCAACTATTCGAAATAAACATTTCACCTCTTGTGACTAAATGTTTTTTAAAAAAAATTTTTTAAACTCCTTTTAATCTAAAAACTAGCCTTGCAAGATCTTGTAGGGTACATGAGCATCCCTTCAAAAAACTTGCTAATTTGGTACAAGAGAACTCCTTCCTCTTAATCCTAAATAAATCTTGGAAACTTAGGCAGTTGTAAACACAACAAAACAGTGGCAAGATAGTTACCCGGAAAATGCAAAGAAAGGACAGTCAGTTGGCTGATGGGAGGTGCAGAAAGCTCTCCCTCAAAGAGCATTAATCTCATTGATTCATACGCTCTGTAGGAGGAGCAAGATACAGGGCAGCGAAAGCTACCCTACAGATGAACATCAACAGTGGCCACTACTCTCCTTCAGGATGCCAGCAGTTAGACCTTTTCTTCCTCCCTTTCCTAACATCTGTCTGACCAAGTTTCAGTTCCTATTAAGACTAGTGAAGCTGACCAGCAAAAAGAGCTATCCATTACAAATATCAATTTAAGTTTTTAGTCAGCTGGTTGCATGCCAGACACAGAACTACACAGGCAGCCATCAGGGTGTAGAACAATTCCAGTATGATAAATATACATTTTCCTTCATCCAGCTCATTTCCCAAATACCTATAAACAGATTAAAAGTCAATCATAAGAAAAAACTAGATCCACTTTAGGAAACTGAATGATTTTTCTACATATGAAATAACCTAGGAAAAAGTTTGCGAACTGTGCTCCTGTTGCCCAAAGCTGCTAGCTAAAAAATTTAAAGATTGCTGATGAGCTAGTGAGTAAGCATTTCTCAAAAGGTGATACCCAGCAAAACTTGGTGAGCATCTACAAGGATTTTAAACCTCCTGAAAATACAATGCTCTCTTGTCACTCTGAAGATGTCTTAGAAGCAAAAATGTAGCAACTTAAGTCGAATTGCAAGAAAAGAAAGGTATGCCCTGTTTTGCTTAAGAGATGAAAGGGAGAAACTCTAAACTAAAAACACAAAGATTGTCTTTTCTCTCTTCTGCTAGAGAATTGCTCCTCTAGACTTGACCCTTCTAAAGAAGGAAACTCTCAGTGAGTTTTAAATTGAAAAAAATAAGAATAAAGCTATGTGGAAATTTTAAAAATGAAAACTTTTCCTCACTTCTTCCTTAAATTCACGATTAATATAAGAATTGAGAAAAACTAAAAACCTGCCAAACCAAGAAAAATCAGGACACCAGCAGATTTATTTCTTTTACATGTCACTTTTCTAAAGGACTACAGAGTAACCATCAATGTAAATACCTGGAGGACTAGACACATGACTTAACATGAGAGCTAACTGTGCATAGGTAATCGAGATGAAAAGAACACCTAGAAAGTATCAAAAAAACTATCGGCTGTTTCCTGTCAAACCATGTAGCATTCTTAAGTTAAAAAAAAATTATGATTTTTAAAAATTGTTTAAGGAATGAACTTTGAACTATCACGGTACTGCTGTGAACAGTCCTGCAGCCACGCTGCAAAATCACCCCATGCATCCCATGCCTGTTCAGGAAATGGGAAAAAAAATTGCATTTTTCTCAATCAGTGATTTTATATTATGTTTTAAGCTGGAATTTTTGTAGGTGAATGTACTCCTTTTCTTTATGTGTTTTTCTAACAGATTACATTCACAATTTCAGCAAGAGTAATTAAAATCTCTAGTTATTCATTTAGCAATGCTGTACTACCCTTTTTTCTCTTTTTTTGAACACTATCATGGCAATTTTATTTATTATCATGAGGAGATTCAATGCAAAAGGATTAATAAAGCAATTTTTCAGTATCCTCAAGTGTTGTGTTCAATTCATTTTATATTTAAAGTTTAATTCTAATCTTTGATAAACAAGAAAGCATTGCTGCTTATCTGGCAAGCTGGGATCCTATACTTGTGTACACATGCACAGCAGCTGATTTTCACAAGGTATGAAGCAACAGATGCTTTGTTTTTGAGATCAGAACCAAACCCACAAAATCTTGCATCACCAAGTTCTTGGCTATACAGTTGTTTTTTATAGTCATAAGTCCATACTTTCATACTTGCTCTTGGGTAAAAACCCCTCTGAGAAGCTAACATATTTTCCAATTTTCACTTAAAGACAATTTATCTTAGAGTTATTTACAAGGGAACTGAAAGATAGCTTCATTGCTGTTACAGTAGCTGCATCCTATTACTATTAAAGCAAAGTCTAGAAGGCTTAACGAATCTCAGCCCCTCTCACTCCTCCAACTGTGCTGGGCACTGTACAAACAAAAGGAAGAGACAGTTCCTGTCTGAAAAGTTTTACAGCCTGAATAATCAAGACAGACAAAAGATAGAAGAAAGGAAGTATCTCATTTTGATTTTTACTATTGGGAAACTGAAGAGTACTTCACACCCATAGCTCATGCCAGGTTTTCAAAGAGCCAAGAATAGCAGGGATCAGACTACAAATATAAAAGAGATACGGGCATGATGCTTCAGAAGAGCTTTAAAATGAACTAACTGTAAAGTTTGCAGCTAAGCTACAAAAGACACAATATCATTTAAAAAATCTTGTAAAAGTTTTACAAAATGTTGTTAAAAATACTCTTGTTGTTTTTCCCCCCCCCCCCCCCCATGTCTTTTTTTGGGCAGAATAGTTATGCTTGTACCAACTTCTCTCAAATGAGAATGCTGGTGTAACTAAGGCAGAGAGTCTAAGGCCTGACCTAAAGAGCTAAGTTTGTTTACGCAAGGGGGAAACGTGAGTGCTAGAGTGGCTTTGAATGTGGCCCTCTCTAGGGATACAGAAAATTATTCTCAGGCCTAGGGCCTCCCTCCCTCCCTCCCCTGCCCGCCAGTGGATGCTGGAAGGAAGTGGATTTACACAAGCTATGCACTAGGAATGCCATGTTGTGACACATCGGGATAGCTGAGGTATCACTAGTTATAAAAAACAGACACTCTAGGATTGGGGGTTTTTTGGTGTTGATGCTTTGGAGTTGAACCTTTGGGTCTTTGGAAGTGTCCGCGAAATGAAGAAATCAAGCATACCTTGTAGGAAAGAATATTTGATCTGGCTAGAGGCTTGCCTGAGTTCGGCAACCCATACCGCAGCCTTCGTGTGCTATTTAGAGGTACAGGGAATAACAACAGCCTTCCTGTGGGAAGCGTTTGTCTTTTCCTTCCCCTGCCCCAAAATGACACGTTCTGACTAGGCCAGCCAGTAATGATGACCTTTTCCAGGCCCAAGTGATACCTGTTTGTGAAAAGATCAGCCTTGTGCATAGCCATTAATATGTATTTGCCAGTGTTAGCAACTGAGATGTGTAGAGGAAATTCCAGGGGCCTCTTAAAGACACTGACTTAAACCACTGGAATGGGCTTAGCTTTTGTGTCTCTGAACCAGCTCCCATGGTCACTATCCCATGGTTTGCTTTAGGAAGGCATAATTCTGTCTGTTCCTTGGCTGATGCTGCCTATGGGGCTCAGCCTTTGATGTGGATTGCTCCCATGGAGTCCAATGTGGCCCCGCTGAGTGGAAGTGCAGGACAGAAGGGAGATGGTAATCGTGGAAAGCAGTCAGTCTTCTCATCTACCATCAGTGCTGGGCCTTGTGTAGCTTTGTACTGGCCACATAATTGTTTGGGTTCCTCTCTCTTTTTGTTTTTTTTGGTTTTGTTTTTTTTTTCTTTTCATATGCTCGTGATGTAGATGACTGCCGGAAGAGGTTGTCTTTCAGACTGTGATTCAGTTAGTATTTCACTGTATTGATATCTGGAGGGATGATCCAAAGAAGGTACTTTGGAGGCCTCTTTCAGTTTGCTTTTTCTTTCCAGGGCACAGAAGCTGAGCACCATGAATAATGAAGCCGATATCAGGAAAAAACTGGAGGTGTAGAAGACACAGTGGAAATCATTGGTTATGTCCACCAGGAGACCTGAAACGGGAATCACAGTTTAGTCAAAGATAAGATGCGGACTAAAGGGAACTGTTCATGTAAATGTTAAGCCTCAATCGCTCATCAGACTGCCATCTACAAAACCCAAGCTTCCACAGATGAGTTGAGTTCTCTTCTGTAGATTCAAGAGCTTCTCTGTTCGTAGTCGCTGCTCAGGCGGTGTTTCTGCTTCTGTATAAAGTATTTCTCAATGAACTGAGAAATCACGAAAGAAAGGAAACTCATTTTTTCACCCACCTGCTAATTCATTGCGTCTGCTCAGCAGATCATCCCTGCGCCCCTGCCACTCACTGGCTTTTGGGATGAGTGACCCTGTTGCGCCCCAGGGCATTGAGAACTGTCTCAACAATCAGTATGTTTTGGTCTCTAAACTGAAAACTTGCCTTCCTTTAATAGGACGTAATCAGGATGAGGAAATGCACAGCCCAGCAGGTATTATAACTAATATTAAGTGTCTCAATAAAAAACACTTAGAGTGGTATATTAAGTGAGCATTTCAACATTAACTCTAGAGGTGGGAAGGCGATATTCAAGTAACACATGGGATGCCTTCTCTACAGGCTGCATACATATATGTGGAATACTGGAGTAACGTGTGTGTTCTGCATGCGTTCTTTGGTGAGGGTTGGCGATGCTCCCTTTCATAGCGGGTTTTCTTTAGCAGACTTTAGGAGTCTACATGAAAATGGAGCTGTTCATCTGCCTTTTCTCCCAGAGATGTCCAAGAAAACACTTTTTCTTCACTTTGAGAAAAGCGACTGGCACTTGAATGCCTGGGGATACTGTGAAGTATAGTGCAGATTATCATCCCCTTCCTAGACTAGGCAGATAGTTTACTGCTGAATGACGGGCAATCCATTGTCTGGCGAAGAGAACTAAAAGCCAGACTGGATTCATGCTCAGATTCATGTTTCTTGCTTGTCAGTGTTTTGAATGTGCTGCTATACGGCAGGAGCAGCTGTGTCTTGGACAGGTCACTGGAGCAGTGTTTGGAGTGAACTGTGATGTTGTGAGTCCTGTATTGGGCTGGGGGCCACGACTAACTCGCTGTCTCCGGAGAAGGAAGAATAAACTCTAGGGCTCGGAAAGAAGAGTGCATAGAAGCTTAGTTTACTAGCAGGCTCTTGACTAACCAGTAACACTTCTGATCACAGTAAATGTGTTTAACGGGATGTTTGCAGCTCCTTGAGACTTCATAGGTAAAATGATGCAGACTAGCAAAGCAGTGAAAGAGCTCTTAAGACAGCAGGATCCTACCACGGAAATCTCTCTCTCTGTCCCCTGGCCACTCACTGGAAAAAAGCTCTCATCACTTCCATGCCTATCAGAGCTGCATACCAAGTGGGTCATGTTTTCACTCTCTGCTATTGCTTCAGTGATTCTTGGTCAGCTGCAGAAATGGCCCTCGTTGAGAAGGGGCTGGTCGTTCCTTTCCGACTCTGCCTTTTCCCTTGCTGCCTCTGCATAACTGACCTGCTTGCGTGGCCTTGGGAACTCCCTCCTTCCTCTTGTTCATGCTCCCAAATGCTTGTCCCTAGGGGGTCTAAATACCCTGTTCTTCCCCAGCCTGCTTCAGTAGCTTCTCTCACCTGTGAGAGGCGGTCCAATGAGGAGAGTGATACTTTCCAGGACAGTGAAGAGCCCCAACGCGCTTGAGAACCTGTCCATCTCCACCACGTCCATCAGCACCTGGAAGGTGAGTGCCCCGATGCCGCTCATGGCTATGCTGAGGATGACGCAGTAGATGATGAGTGCGCTGAACTTGGCTGAAAGGACACAGATGAAATTGCTCAGCCCGCAGAGGAGTACAGCCAGGCTGAACAGATAGATACGTCTCCCTGTGAAGACGCTGAGTCCCGAGAGCAGCCCTGTGAAAGGGCGTATGAAGATGTTGATGAACCCGATAACGGAGATGAGGAGAGCTGCCCTGCGTTCCTCCAGCCCACTGTGGATGGCATAAGGCACGAGGTAGATGTGGGGTAATGCAAACCCCATCATCATCCAGGTCACTCCAATAGTATAAATCTGGTAACCTTTGTTTTGGCAGAAGATGTCAAAAGCCAGGTACTTGTGCAACATCTGGAGGCATGCAGGCCTCCTGGCTTGCTGCGGGACCTCGGGGTGGGGAGAAGATGCTCCATTGGCTAGCTGTGCCTCTTCTGCTTCTCTCCCTGGCTCCTCTCCAGGCCTGGCTGGCTGTAGTACTGGTCGGGACGCAAGCTGGACAGGTCTCATAATGGCTCCACAAACGCAGCAGTTGAGTAGTATTCCTCCAAAGAGGAGAAAAGTGTTTCTCCAGCCCATCTCATCCAGCAAGTACTGAGAAAGCAGCGGCCACAGCGTGAAACCGAGGGAGACGCCAGTGGACGCCATGGCATTGGCCAAGGTTCGCCACCGCACAAAGTAGTAGCCCAACACAGTCACTCCTGCCTGGAAGCTGAAGCACGATCCCAGACCTAAGGTAAGAGGGAAACAGAAAAGGACAGCACCTGATGCTTCTGTGGTGCCTTGCAAGGGGAAAAGATTCAGGCCGCACCCAGAGATGACCGTTTTTACCACTGGAGCATTTCCTCACCTGCCAAGCAGCTCGAGCCCCACTGATGAACACTCACTAGCCCTGCCCCAGGGGTGAAGAAGGATGTTTTGGGTAAACGAAACTCTTTGCGTTCCCAGGGATACTAAATACACTGATCTAAGCTGGCGTTTGTCTGGGGCGCACCGCTGTTCCTAAAATCATTCTGAAACTGTGCATTAGACAAATGCCGAGGACCTGTTTTTTCTCCTGCACGCAGCAGACAGTGCTGCTTTTCTGACGCTTTCAGGGCTCAGGGAGTTACTTGTTGGTTTTCTCTCTCTGCAGTGCAGGCCACCTGGCTTGCAAGATCCCACAAGGTTCAGTGCCGAAGTGACCTGGCTTCAGCAACTCATTTCTCTGCGCTAGAAAAAAGCAAGAGCAGACCCACTGATAGGGGGGTAATGTGCGGTGGGGGGGGGCGCGCTATGTGCCCAGCAGAGGGTGACGCGTGGCTGCAGGGGAGATGTCAGAAGCGGGGGCGCGATAAGTGGCAGGACGCCTGATGTGCGGCATGGCGCCTGACACGTGCCCGCCGGG